AGAAAGAAAGAAAGAAAGAAAGAAAGAAAGAAAGAAAGAAAGAAAGAAAGAAAGAAAGACAGACAGGATTCTAACGTTACATCCCAGACATGGGAGCCCTGTTCTCTATGTCAAATATAACAGTTTTCAATTAATTCGAAGTTTCAAAAAGTGGCATACCTATCAAATGAATCTAATATATTTTTTCACAAATAACATGAATACTTATATTTCTTTATAATTTATTTGTTGTGTATTACTGTATAGCATTATCATTAAAACTCTAGACCTTTCCACAATTTTGTTCTACTTTTCACTTTTGAAACACATTGGTGTATAACATAAATGGATACACAAAATGTCCAGACCATACTACATTGGGACAGAAAGGCAGGGATTGGAAACTGGATTTTTGAGAAATAGGAAAAAGTCTTTCAAGGCATTTTAAGGTCATGTCAGTGATCCATTTCATATTACAGAACCAAATAATAGATTACAAGGGAACTATTGGTCAAAGGCAGCTTTTCTAAGAATTTGCTAAAAAGAACCAAAGTGTTGTCACAGTTGAAAAGAAGAAAACAAGTTTAGCAAAATTATAGGCTTATGACCTAAACCTTCTACTCTTGTCTGGACTAAAGTTCAGAGGTCAGAACTAATTCTGGGGACAAAAAAAAAGTCTGCTCTTTATGCATGGCTCAAAAGTTTGATAAAATTGCTGTAAGTCTTGACTTTACCTGACAATGAAGAAATGATACATTGAAATATCCCTATGATCAGATCCTCATAAACCTTGTTCTCACTAAGGATGACACAGAGACACAGTTAACCCAACAGTGCCAAAAACATTAGCTACCAACTTGGTTAGGATTTTGCTGTCGTTCCATTATTTTGCTGCAAAGAGTACCAAAGATTATTATGTGATACTCCTGACACATTAGAAAGTTTTGTATGAAATGGTATACGGATAAGAATAATATTGACAGTAAACCCAGTCGAGACAGGGTCTATTCTCAAATGCCAATCTTCAGATGGGCCAGGAATTTATTCCCACTGCAAAATCATTTCTAACAGCTCTAATTTGAATGTGAACCCAAACACATCAAGGATACTATCCTAGAATCCTTCTTAATTTTACCAGGGGATGTTGTGAGATTAGATCAGGGGTCTCCAAACTTGGCAACTTTAAGATTTGTGGACTTTAACTCCCAGAACTCTCCAGCCAGCTATGCTTAAAGTTGCCAAGTTTGAAGACCTCTGGATGACATTATACATCTAGAAATTTTAGACCGAATCACCTGAATGGACAATAATAGTGTCCATTGCACTCCCCCTTTGCCGTAACCTAAACTGTATGTTGCTCTTTGATTAGAAGGGAGATGGTTAATCCCCCCTCCCCCACTTTCCCTATTCCCATCTTTGTGTAAGAGTTCAGATGGGACACACTCTTTGCTAAATATTGTTTGCTCAAGCACTGGGCACGCTCTCCCTGCAGCCACCTTTTCTTCTGCACATGCAGCAGATTGTCATTAGTATTAATTAAGTGGAAGTTCTGCCAAGTGTTAGGTAATTAATGAACTAAGCCAGGCCAGGCCACGGACAGGGGACCAAAGGCTGAGGGTAGCCAGCATTGGAGCACTACTAAAGTAACAAGACACAGCAGAGCCTGCAGAAGCAATATGGGGTGACTGCAGCAGTGAAAGCACTGGGTGAAGTGAGTTGCAGTTCACCAAAAGTCAGACCGTATCCATTTGCTAGCTTTTAAAAGCCATAAAGTTCTGAGCTGAATTTACAATGGAGGCTCATTCATTCTCTTTCTGTAAATCAAATGTAATTTTGTGTGTGTGTGTGTGTGTGTGTGTGTGTGCACGCGCACACACACACATACACACACTAGACAAGGGACATGGTGGCTCAGTGGCTAAGACGCTGAGCTTGTCGATCAGAAAGGTCATCAGTTCGGCGGTTCGAATCGCTAGCCCTGCTTCTGTCAACCTAGCAGTTCGAAAGCAGGTAAAAATGAAAGTAGAAAAATAGGAACAACTTTTGGTGGGAAGGTAACAGCGTTCTGTGCACCATCGGTGTTTAGTCATAGAGACATCTATGGACGGTGCTGGCTTTTTGGCTTTGAAATGGAGATGAGCACCGCCCCCTAGAGTCAGGAATGACTAGAACATATGTGCAAGGGGAACCTTTACCTTTACCTTATATACTAGGCACATGCATCCTAACTTATAAAAGAATCCAAATTGTTTCTACTTGGTCTATTGTTCAACAGTACCTGTTGATACAGTCAAATAGACATAAGGAATAAATAAAACCAACCTCATGGATGGATATCTGCCCTTTCCTAATTGTCAACAGCAAAATAGTGAAAGACCCATAATGCTGTGAGAATTGCCATGCCCGGCTCCAGGTCCAGCGCAAGATGGAGGGAAGCCCGCTCGGCCTTACTTACTAAGAGAGGAGCGGGAATTTTCTATCTAGGTTGCACCCCCACCCACCCACCATCAAAGAGGAGCGCCTTCGAAGAGGGGAATATTTGGGAGCTGCCTCGTTGCTGCCTAGTTGAAAGTTTACAGAATTCGCTCGTGTTTATTCCTCAACCATACTTACCCTCTGCACCCGGTGGAGTTGTTGTCCCGTTTTATCCGCATGGGTGATCCGGATGAAGCCAGACTCCCTTGGCTCCCCAAAGCAACCCTCCAACCGGAGAGCGCCCAAACCATCCGAGGTAGGGATGGAGGCGAAAAGAGGCTGCCGGCCCCGCGTGTGCACAGCTCGCTCCCTCTTAGCCCGGCGGGAGCCGAGAGAGCTCCCAAATGCAGCCCCGAAGGCTCCCTTCCACGAACTGCCACGACGACACCCCCCCGGAAAACTCACCTCGGGACTTTTGTCCCCACCCCCACCCTCACCCCGGGAGGCTCAGGGACCTTCCAGCCGGACGACCCCCAGTTCCTGGCCCAAGAAGGGCGCCACCATCCCCGTCCCGTCCCCGGGCTCCCGGCGCGGACCTACCGGGCTGGCGTCGGTTCTGGGCGCCTCTAGGGCGCATCGCGAGGCAAAGGGTTGCAGGGCCGGCAAGCTTCGTGCTGCTCTTCTCCGCCCCACGCCGTCGATTGTCAAGCTCCGTTTCTCTCAAAAACTTTTCTCAGAGCCGCGACCCGCCGCAGCCGCCACTGAGCGGGTCGGGGGAGGGGACCGACTGGCTCCTCAGGGGAACCGGGGCCGGGCAGGCAGCCAAGATCGCGCCGTTTCTCCGACGGCAGGTGTGGGCAGGGAGCCGGAGAGACTCCGAACCTTCCTCCGGACGTCCCCGCGGCTGGTTCAGCGGCTCCCTCGCCTCTCTTTCTCTAGCTCCGCAAGTTATAGCTCAGCCCTCGAGGTCTTTGGAGAACTCCTCCTCCTGCTCTGCAGCACCGGAGCCCCCCTCGGCCATTAAGGCAGAAGCGAGGTTGGAGGCGCCAAGACTACGGAGGAGGGGGCCTCTCACCTGATCCACCTCACCGGACTGAGGGGCTGCGGCGTGCGTGAAACTCCTGATGAGTAACGGGAGCAAGGCTCCCTCCCTCGTTCGGGTCTGCCTGATCAAGAGCCACAAGTCTCCTCCGCGTGGCGCGCTTCAACTTTCTAACCCGTGTGCGTGAACCCGTGGACACGGGAATGGTCAAAAGGCCTTGGAGTAAGACAGAAGGTGTCCTTGGTTCCCTGGCCCAAGACAGTTAGAAGCAATAACTCCCCTTTTAATGGATGAATAGCACATGAGAATTAATGGAGGAATCTGTTCCCGTATCAGATTCATAATCTACAGGAAGTCCTACTCATAAATTCAAGCTTAGAAAATCAAGAATGTGGCTTGCATATTTGGAGAAAAATCATCAACTCTGTCCTCAGCTCTGTTCAGCATCATATCCCAACTTTGTTTTCGTGCATAATCAATATTTGAATTTTCAATAACTGGATATCATTTGTGTGTGATTCAGTTTATGAATTTCAGATTTCTCTCTTTAAAAAAAAAAAAGGCCTTGTATCTGAGAATACTTTATTTTGCAATGTTTTATTGATCATGTAAATAATCTCCATACAGGTAGTTTCACTTAGTGATCACAATTGGAACCAATACCTTGGTCATTAAGTAAAGATGTTGTTAAGTGACACTGACTGCTTACAGTATTTCAGCTTTTTTTTCCTGTGAATACCTAGTCCTGCCATAGAAGTGTGGCCGTTCCACAAACTAACTTCCAAAGAACAAA